ACGGGGTGACGCTGCTGTCGCCGGCGTGTGTGGCACCGCCAGGGGAGGGTCGGGAGGGCTGGCCCGGGCACCTCTGACCCTGCTCCCCCCACAGAGCCAGCGATGACCCCGAGAAAACAAACACCACTTACCTGGATGACTCGCAGCCAGCGCAGGGTGAGTGCCCCGAGTGCCGCGCTGACCCCCCCAGCTGCATCCCCAGCTCCAGGGGATGGACAGAGGCAGCTCCTGGGCCCTCCCCTCCCRAGGTGCACCCCTTGACCCCTTGGCAGTGACCACCACACATCCCTCACACCCTCCATTGTCCATCCCTGGCTGTGGAATTGGACCAGCAGCTGGGAGCAGGGAATTCCAGGCTGGTTTTGGGGCCATGAGTGCAGCAAGTTTGCCAAGCCTCAGCTGGGGAATCTGGGGAGCACCCCGGTGTGGAGAGCCGGGTGCTGACCCCCTTTCTCCACAGATATCACTGGCAAAGCAGAGGACCCCGAGTGCCTGTCATCCTCCAGCTACCGGGATGCCGAGAGCGAGCGGTTCCTGTCCTCCAGCTCCTCCACCGCCCGGCGCGTCTCCTTCAACGAGGCCGCGCTCTTTGACCAGAGCAAGAAGACCCAGGAGAAAGGGAGGAGGTGAAGCTCTGGGCTGAGGGTGGGGGGCACAGGAGGGGTCCCCTCTGCCCGTCCTGAGCTGGCTGTCCTGCAGGTACACGCTGACAGAGGGGGACTTCCACCACCTGAAGAACGCCCGCCTGACCCACCTGCACCTCCCGCCGCCTGCCCTCAAGATTGTCACCATCCACGAGTGCGAGTCCAGCGAGAACAGCCTGGCCATGACCCCCCGCCTGCCCCCACCCAAGCCCGGCCTTGCCATCTTCCAGGTGAGCCCCCAGCACTCGAGGGACAGGTGGGAGCAGCAGCACCCCATGGAGGCACCGCTGGGCCCAGGGTGGGAGTTTCAGGGCATTGCTGGAAGTGGAGAAAGGAGGTCCTGGGGTGCAGGGGCCCCTCCTGGTCCCCACCCTCGTGYAGACCCCCTGAGCGTGCTCTGCCTTGCAGCCCCCCGCGGGTGCCCTGCCCCGGCCAGYGCTCCCCAGCCATGCCGTGGGCCCCAGCTCTGCCCTGCCCGGGGACACCTACAACTCCACCGTGGACACCAGCTTCACGGAGGCCAGCCCGTCCATCTCCTCCGACTCCGGGGAGGGCCCCTCGGTGAGTGCTGGGCGGGGGGCTGGGACTGGGCAGGGGAAGGGGCTCTCAGCTCGTGCAGCGCCAAGGGTCCCGTCCTGCTTTGATCCCATCCCTGCCCCCCTGCTCCGTGCCAGGGCTCCAGGGTAAGATGTGGGCATCCAGCTAGAAACAGGCTCTGCCCCCCCACCTCATCCCTGCCCCGGGGGACATTCGTGCATCTGCTGCAGCCCGGCTCTGTGGAGCGGACAAAGGAGCCGAGTGCGGTGCGGGGGGGTTGGGAGGGGTCATGCGTGGGGCCGAGCGGGCACTCACGGCCCCCACCCCCTCATCCCCAGTTCACAGCAGCACCCAGGAGCGGGAAGGCGGCTGGGGCGGGCAGTGCCAGCCCCGGGGAACCCCCTCCGACCCCTCCCCAGGGCACGGTCCTGCAGTTCTTCACCCGCCTGCGTCGCCACGCCAGCCTGGAYGGGGCCAGCCCCTACTTCAGGATCAAGAAGTGGAAGCTGGAGAGCACCCAGCGGGCGTCCAGCCTGGACACCAGAGGTGGGGGTCAGCAGGGGCCCTGCGGGGCCAAGCAGGGTGGGTGRACAGCTATGGGTGGGGGGCTGGTGGCGCTGGTTGGATTTACCCCCCAGCCCTTTCCTGAACCCCGCAGGGTCCCCCAAGCGCCGGCAGTTCCAGAGGCAGCGGGCGGCCAGYGAGAGCATGGACCAGGAGGACCGGGACCCCCATCAGACCGACATCATCCAGTACATCGCCCACACGGACGACGTGGCCTTCCACCCCGCGGGGGGCCCCTTCCTGCCCTCCCCCGCCAGCCCCCCACCCTCTCTCGGCAGGTATTTTTCAGTAGATAAGAGGGGACGGGGATGGGTGAGCTGGGAAGGCACTGAGGGACTCCGTGCTGCCCTGGGCATGGGAGACTCCCACCTTTGCGGCGCTGGTGGGGGCAGCCGGGTCCGGGGTGAGGGGTCTGGGGGAAGCTGGTGATGGGGAGGTTGGGCTGGGGCATGGGGACAGCATGGGGACAGCATGGGGGACCGGGTGGCACAGGGGCCTGCGGGGGCCGGGCTGGCACATCCCTGCGGGGTCTGTCCGCTCCCTGACGTGACACCGGGGTGGTGCCCGCAGGCTAGAGCCGGGCGAGGGGGGCGCGGGCAGCCCCGGCGAGTCCGGCGTCCCCGAGCAGCCCAGCGCCTACCACGACATCTGGAGCCTGCGCGCCTCGCTGGAGCTGTACGCGGCCTCCGAGCGCAGCAACGACCAGGACTCGGTGCGCAGCGACGGCGGGGACAGCGTCTCCTCCGCCAGCGGCGTGCCCCCCTGTCCCTCCCCTTCCCTGGACGACGCTGAAGGCCCCGAGGAGAAGTTCTGGGGTCGGCCCAAGCCGGAGGATTCGGAGCCCGGCACACGCAAGCTGCTGCAGATGGACAGTGGCTACGCTTCCATCGAGGCGCCCAGCCGGGGGGGCGAGGAGGGGCCCCCCAAGGACCAGACGGCCTCCGAGAAACGCATTTGCTTCACCAGCGCCGGGCGGAAAGGAACCATCTTCGAGAGCTTCGAGGGCCGGGAGCCGGAGGAGGAGGAGGAGGAGGAAGAGGAAGAAGAGGAGGGCGGGGGGAGCACGACCCTGGGAGCAGCGGGAGGGGGACACCTCCGTCCCCACAGCCCCCTGGCCTGGTCCCCGTACGGGCAGATGTTCCCGGGGCGGGAGGGGCTGCCCCGGCGGGACTACAGCATCGACGAGAAGACGGACGCGCTGTTCAACGCCTTCGTGCGCCACGACCCCCAGTTCGACGAGTCTCCGCTGCGGGGGAAGCACCGCTCCCGCACCCACCTGCGCAAGCAGTGGCAGCACACCAAGCAGTTCAGCGACCCCGGCGTGCGGTACCCGGCGCTGGAGCGGCACCGGACGCCCCTGCGCCGCGGCGACAGCGCCAATTACCCGCTGGACGCCCGGTTCCACAGCCCCCTGCCCCGCATCGTTAGCGCCGGCGACGAGGAGGCGGCCGAGGCGGCCGATGGGGTCCCTCCTCCCCCGGCGCTGCCTGACCCCGAGATCCAGGTGATCGTRGAGGAGCCCGGAGAGGCGGCCCCCGAGCCCAAGGCTGGCTCCGAGCCCCCTGAGGACGATGATTGCCCCGGCCCCGGGAGGTGCTTGGGGCTGGGCTCCGGCTCGGAGCTGATGGACAAGATCGCCGGCGGCCTGGAGGAGCGGCTCTATGGGCACCTGAGGAAAGCGGGAGAGAGAGAGACCCCCGAGTGCACGGTGGCCGTGGCGGCCAGTGATGCTCCCCCCGACCACAGCCCGGTCTAGGCCCAGCGTGAGGGGGAGAGACCCCGGCACAGGGTTCGGGGCTCCATCCCCTCCTACTGCCGGTGCGGGAAGAGTGTCCCGGCCCGGGAAGGCCAGGAGGGCATCTGGGGTCCCCTGGCCGTACCCCCACCGCGGGGGTCCCGGTAGCGTGGGGTGGCCGAGCCCCCCGGCTCCCGGGAACGATGGCCCGGGCTGGGGGAGCCCCGGGGGTCGGGGCGTGGAGGAGAAGCCGAGCTCTGGCCGGGGGTCAGCGCTGAGGGACTTTGCTGACCTCCCCCGCCCCTCTGAGCCCCCCGTGGCAGCTCCGCTCTCCCCTCTCTCCGCGGTTTCACAAGCAATAAGCCTCTCGTCCGGCCGGGAAGGGGCCGGAGCTGGGTGTCCCCGCCTCGGGGGATGCTGCGGTGCCGCTCTGGCAAGGGGGCAGTTTGGGGAGGGGGGAAGTCACCTCCTCAATCCCACAAACRCCCCCAAGATCTGCAGGGAGCCTGGGATCTAAACTGGAAGCAGGGGGTCTGGGCCAGGGGGATTCTTGAGGGCACCTCTTTGGGGGGCTCCATAGCGGCAGTTTAAGGGCTGGTGGGGCAGGAATGGCCCTGGGGACCCCAAAAATGCCCCCCGGAGGGGTGGGGGCCGCTCCCAGCGCTGTCCCCTTAGTCCAGAGTGAGAGCAGAGTTTGGGGGTCCCCAGCGAGTGCCCCCCAACACCCCAGTGGGGGCTTGAGGATATTTATTGATTTCTACAGAGGCGGCTGCTGCTCCGAGGTGGAAGGGGGTGGTGTTTGCTTTTTATTGGGTTTTTATTTGCGTTTCAAAGGACGGGTGAAAAAGAGAAAAAAAAAAAAAAAAAAGAAACTGCCTCAGCCCAGCCCCGGCTGTGGCACCTGGGACTCGGCAGCGGGGGGGGGACAGGCAGGGCCCCCCCAAACCCCCATTGCATGCGAGTAGAGGCCGGGTCGCCCCTTCCCTCTGCGCAGGCTCTGCCCAAAGCCCTCCCTCCATCACCTCCGCGTTTTTAAGTCTATAAACAAAGGAGAAAAACCAAAACCAACCAACTGTGACGTCTCTGAGCTCTTTTCTTACCTTCTGCCCCTCTCTGGGGATGGTGCCTGCTGCAGGAGTGGGGGGGGCTCTGGGCCTGGCATTGCCCCACAAAGTGTAGGGTTTGTGTTTAGGGGGGCTGTGCCCTTCCAAAAGGAAAAGGAGGAAGAGGGGCTGGTCATGGCCCCGACCCTACCTGCTGCAGGAGGAAGGACATGAAACCCACCTGCTGTTTTCACTTTATTTTTCTTTAAAAAAGAAAAAGGAAAAAAAAAA